ATTTTGGTACTTAGCGGGGTTCTCACTCTGGACAGGGTAGTGTTTACAATAATTTCTAATTTCTGACTGTGAATGCTCAATAGTAGTTAGAAATGCTCTTAATCCATGTTGCATGCTCTTATTCCTAGATATTCGTCGTTTGTATATAGTAATCTCTTGTACAGGACATAATCAAAATGGTAGTTATGCTTTTCCTCTCTGAAAAATGTTGTAACCTGGTTGCTGTTTTAAAAAAAAGAGATGTACAATTGATTGTAAGTACATCAAAGGTCATAATTAAGGTAATTGAATGTAATGTTTATTCTCCTTCTTCTCCTTGTCCTCCTCCTCCTCTTTCTCCTTCTTTGTCCTCTTTTTCCTTCTCCTTCTTCTCTTTCTCCTCCTCTTCTTCTTTCTCTTCTTCTGTCTCCTCCTCTTCTTCTTCTTCTTCTTCTTCTTTCTTCTTCTTCTCCTCCTTCTTCTTCTTCCTCCTTCTTCTTTCTTTCCTCCTTCTTCTCTTTCTTCTTCTTCTTCTTCTCCTCCTTCTTCTTCTTCTTCTTCTCTTCCTTCTTTCTTCTTCTTCTTCTCCTTCCTTCTTTTTCTTCTTCTCCTTCTTCTTCTTCTTCTTCTTTCTCCTCCTTCTTCTTCTTCTTCTTCTCCTTCTTCCTTCTTCTCTTCTTCTTTCTCCTCCTCCTTCTTCTTCTTCTTCTTCTTCTTCTTTCTCCTTCTTCTTCTTCTTCTTTCTTCTTTCTCCTCCTCCTTCTTCTTCTCCTTCTCCTTCTTCCTTCCTTCGCCTCCTTCCTTCTTCTTCTTCTCCTCCTTCTTTCTTCTTCATCCGCTTCTTCTTTTCGTTTCTCCTGTCTTCTTCTTCTCCTGCCTTCTTCTCTCCTTCTTCCCTTCTTCTTCTTCTCTTCTTCATCTCTCCTTCTGTCTTCTTCTCCTCCTTCTTCTGCTCCTTCTTCTTCTTACTCCTCCTCCTCTCTTCTTCTTCTTCCTTCTTCTTCTTCCTTCTCTCCCCTTCCTCTTCTTTGCTTTCTTCTCCTTCTTCTACTTTAATCTTTTTTTTTTTTTTCAGAATCGCAGGTATAAAATGCTGAAAGAGCAATTTGTTTAATTATTTGGTGCAGGTGCAAGTCTCATTTTTGTTGAACTGTGAAGTTTTGACAAATTCAAAAGTAACAAATAATGCAATAAAATATGTGCTGTTGTCACCCTAATAATTTTATAATGGAATAACTACTATTCTTATTTCAGATCTTAATAATTCTCTTGGCTATGAAGATAAATTGTAATAATCTGAAGAAAAATGAGTGTCAAAAAATTAAAAATAACATAATATTAAAGTTATTTTTATTTCCAGCTCCTGGTGCACCATCAAATGTATCTTTCCCAGATGTTTCTCTGACATCTGCCCGCATCATATGGGATGTTCCTGATGAGCCAAATGGTGAAATTTTGGCATACATGGTCACATACAATATTGATAATCAGGCAGAAAGTAACTATTCTCGGGAATTTCCCCCATCAGATCGTACCTTTAGGCGAGTGTCTTCCAAAGTTATTGAATGTTAAAGCTTTTCTTTGTAAATCAGAAAGATCATTTTGTGTTTCTTGAATTACAGGGCCACTGAACTTGAGCCTGAGCAGTACTATATGTTCTCGGTCACTGCTCAAACAAGATTAGGCTGGGGACGCACTGCTCGAGCTCTGGTTTTTACTACAAGTAATCGTGAGCGTCCCCAACCTCCTTCAGCACCACAAGTGAGCCGCAGTCAAATTCAAAGTGGCC